CTCGGATGATTGTGGCCCCGCCCCCAACATGCCCAACGTGACTGCGTCACTTCCGGATGATGTAATTGTGGTGCGCACATGGACTCCCAGGACAAGACTGGACTCCCCCACTCTGGGACAGGTAAGGACTTGGCAACCCTAAGTCCAACACACATTGTTTGCCCACAGTGGTCAAACAGATGTCCGGGAAATCCCCCATAGGCAAAAGCCCTATCCCACCCCTACTTATGCTCAACGAGTGATATTCAGAGGTACACTGCCTCAAAACATGAATGTTTATCCAACCATCATGGTACACAGGCACTGATGGAACTAGCCAAGTTTTTTAAAAAATGGAAGTTACCTAAGCTGGTGGCCATCACCAATTATATCATGTAGCAGCTAACTCCACAGGTTAAGTATGCATTGTGTCAGGAAGCACTTTATTTCATCTGTCCTGACTTCACTGCCCATCAACACAGATATCAGAGACCAGAACTTTGGGGAAATGAAAAGAAGTTCTCTCTGTCCACATTCTCCAAAGAAGAAAGAAAAAAAAAACAGAAATGTTTCTTAAGAGGCCTCTAGGAGTCCAATTTTATCTCCTCTGAGTAACAAAGTAAAGGTGGCAACAAGGTTATGTTTATGCTGCACCAAGGCCAAAGGTTTTACCACAGAGAGTTTTATCAGAGCTCACCAGACAGAAAGACTTTTTAACTCAAAAGATGGTCAATAGCTTCCTAGACAGCAGTCAAACTAGTGTGAAAGTTATTTCAAGCCAAGATAAAAATGTTGTAGGGTACACTGCCCTAAAACTTCCTGTGGCATGAGGCCCTCAACAGTGTTACAACTTCATTACCAATTCAGAGAGCAGACAGCAAAAGAGTCAAAATGTATTCTTGTTGCCAGACTCTGTTAGACACATAAATGAAACATTTTGAGAACAAATGAAGCTGCCTTATCCCTAATCAGTATAATATTGCCTTATACTGAACTTTACTGCCTGTACTGAATTATACTTGGTCTAGCAAGGTCTGTACTGTCTATTCGAATTGGCAATGGCTCTCCAGGGTCTCAGGTAGAGGTCTTTCACATCACCTACTGCCAGATCCTTTAAGTGGAAGCATCAGGAATTGAGACCTTCTGCGTACCAAGCAGATTCTCTACCACTGAGCTACAGCCCGTTCCCCTGTGAAGCCATAGAAGTAGGGCTGTCAAAAAACCCCGGGGGGCGGATTTCCCCCCGCTTTGGAGGTCCGATTTCCACCCCCGCGGAATCGGCTCCCGGGGGAAACCCGGATGTGACATCATGACGTCGGGCACGCTGGGGGCGGGGCCACAGCCATTTGAGGGGAAAACTCTATGTTTTCCCCTCAAATGGCTGTGGCCCCGCCCCCAGAGTGCCTGGCGTCATGACGTCACATCTAGGTGACGTGCATGCGGCATGCGCGTGCTCAGGATCGCCAGCCGGGAGCCCCCCGCCACCAAGTAAAAATCATTTGGCAACCCTACATAGAAGGGCACACATTTTTTCTGAGTTTCATCCCCCCAAGGAAATGGGGGGGAGAGAATTATATAGTAATAATTACTTCATCAATCCTAAATGTATTTTACACCTTTAACACAAAATGCATGCACCATTTATAACTTAGCATATAGAATGGAACTATTTGACATATTTACAGAATTTAGAAGTATAAATGCCTTTGTTCTCTACAAGCATAATTGTGAACATGCACAATACTAGGGGGAGACAGCATGGCAAAACTGCTGCCTTAGCACACACGTCTTAGTTTTTGCCATCCGAGAAGTAGGAAAAAGAAAACCTGAATCCAGAGAACACAAAAAAATGGGGGGGGGGGGGATTGTATTTTTTGGACAGAAAATGAAGTCAGCAGCAGCAGTAGAGAATTAAACTTCAGTAGAGAATTAAACTTCATTACACTGAAAACACTGAATTTAGGGAGTTAAATTTTGTTTAATAAAGCAAACATTTTAAGTATCAAAAAATTTTCATTTAAACACTTACAAGCTATCTAGGCTACAAATTAATCAGCTCTGCTCCTGTCTTTCAGAAAGAAAAAACTAGATTAACTCAGGTATCAAACTTGTGTGCAGACAGTAAAATGACACTGGGAGTCCTTCAGCAAATGCCTGCCCTCCCCCCGAAGAAAATGAGAAACCACTGCACATGGGCAACTTTGAATCACGCCTAGTAAGCTTTGTGTGCACTAGCCTTTCAGCAGAGCTCCCACAAAATAAAAACCACATACTGATGTAGCATCCCTGACAAAGGACCAAGCCAAAGTACACAACACCAAGTGGAATGAATTATATTCAGAGAAAATTTAACAATGAACAATCAAAACCATTCATGACAAGAGAAATGAAAGGCCCAATATCTAAAGCCAGCTCTGGTCCAAGTGGGCGTAAAAAGGTATGCAGCAGGTAAACACCCCAGACAGAAGTGCTCAGAAGCTATAAGAACAGAGGTTAGAATGACCGGCTCAATGCCAGCCCGTAGTACAATCACATTTGATGTTTACAATGTGCTTTGAACAAACTCTGGACTCTTAAAGAACAGAGCTTTAACAGGGGGGAAATCACAATGAATACCTGAAGGGGTAAAAATAATAAAGCAGCTCTACCGTAACAAGAAAGGAAACTAAACTTGGAAATCAAAAGAAAGGTGTCTGTCAGGTTATCTGAAGCCAGTATCACAGACACCCACTGTTGTTCAATGGCCTTGCTTACTTAAGTGGCACTCGAGTTTCGAGCTATAACACACTGACGGCCCACGCTCCTGTTTCACTATAAAGAAGAATGAAACCCCAAAGACATTCAGAGTCTTTGGAAACAAAAAGCTATCACAGCAGTCACAGGATTCTTTACAAAAAGCCAGAATAATAAAGCACTGCTTGTGTGTGAAGGAGAATGCCAGATACCATCACCTCAACTTCAAGATTGTTGGGCTGCATACCTGCACCTTTTTCAACACAGACTTTTGGCATACTACAATACAGTTCTTTTTGGAATCATGTGTAATGTGATTTATTATTCCCCTGTTGAAAGGATCAGCTATGAGAGATCCAAGTTCCAAAACCTGCCTGAAGATTATCTGCTTGCTTCCTTCCCCAATTGCTATTCACTGGAGGCAAAAGGATTAGGTAGGAAACTAGTGCCCATGGCAAATGGAACCTGCTGGGCCTTATGTCACCTCTGGGACACCCATCTTTCAGAATGCTGTTAGAGAAACAGAGCAAGCCTTCAAAACTGAAAATCAGAAGACGACCCAGAGGGATCATGCAAGGGACACATGTGCAGCTCATAAGCCTTGGAGTGAGCACTCCTGTTCCAAGGTCTCCAGGCAATGGTGTTTCATGTGGTGTCTTTCAACAGGAAATATCAAGGATTGAACCTGGAATTTTGAGTATGCAAAGCATATGCTCTGCCGCTGAATTGTTGACCCTTCTCCAGAATAGATATCCAATAAAAGTAGTTGCTGGCCAGGGCCACACTCTGCCTGTTATTAAAGAAGAAAAGATATGAAGCAGCCCATTCTACAACCCTATTAAGTTTTTAAAGAGATAAATAACGTCACCTGTTCTAATCTATGTTTTTTAAACAGTTTTAATTATTTGTATTTTAATTGTTCTGGAATATATTTATGTATTGTAGAACCTACTTGTGATCTGCCCTGAGCCCGCTTGTGGGGAGGGTAGAATATAAACGGGAAAAAAATAAAATTAATTAATTAAAACTCTAAAAGTTTTCTAAACCTATATTGCCATTTTGCTTCATTCGTACTCTCATAATTGCATGGGAGATCTGCTGTGCTTTTGTTTTGTTTTTTTAAGATCTTCGGACACTTTGGCTCCCCCTTCCATCCCCTACTCTATAGGGGCTTTTTTTCGATGTCCTCTGTATGTCTCACAACCTGTCCATTGCACAAGCCTTAAAGACTCCAAATTTGGCATTTCACAGAATTTGTGGAGCAGTTCAATTATTCAAACTTTAACCAAAAAGAAAAATCAAAGGACAATTATTTTACAACTCAAGTGCTTTTCTAGAAGTCAAGAAGATGTACAAAAATTCTACAATGCAGAACGTAAATCAATTCAAGTCACCTCCAAGTATCGATGTCATATTTCTGTTTGTATAGGCAAGATCACAGCATGTCATGCACATGAGTTAGATCTAGATGATCAAATTGACAGCCAGGAGGTCACATGATACCTAAGGTTGCGTCATATCTGCTAATGTCAGAATGACTAAGCAGTTGTACAGTGCTGAACTATGACTGGTCAACAGATGTATATATTGAGAAAGGTTCTTGACCAAGTAGCCTGCCTAATGGTTGTATATTCAGCGAAGCACTTTGTCAGTCAGAACTGTGAAACTGCTGCAAAGCTGCGTGTATGTATATAGCCCTGTAAATAAACTGTATATACTCTACCACAACTACTCTGCTACTTCTGACTTCAAACACCGTCAATTTCATATGCACATAGAAGAAAGAAGTTCCAATTAACAGAAAAGGCAACATGTCCCCCCAAAAAGAAAATATTAAAAACCTGCATGACAAAAGCTTTCCATGATAAGCAGCAGCCATGTTATTTACCCTAGCAAAAGAAAAGAGAGGTCCAGTGGCACCTTAGAGAGTAACATATATTCCAGCATGAATTTGAGAATCACAGCCCACTTCTTCAGATGCAATTTTTTTCCAGATGCCCAGAAATATCCACTAACAGAATCTGTACAAATTTTGCATTATATTTAACAAGTATGCATCATTCATCACCTCATGGTAAGGAATTCTCAAAGGCCATCACTATAGAGATAAGCCAGTATACCATCTTCTATTGAAAGTTGGTCAAATCAAAGATCCAACCCAGTCTTAACAGTTTCCTACTGACAAACTGCGTTTTTCCAAACAATCACATATTCCCCCTTGAATTCCTTTTACACCATAAATACTAGCAGTGTGAGGATGCAAGTTTAAAAAAAGTTTCTATACTTACTCTATCTTTATCATCAGCTACATCACAAAGAATATCGTCACGGTCAAGGATTCCCCCATCACTATGTTCCAGACGATGCACTTGTATCCAATAGTTTGTGTCCTGCACACACACAAAAAGAGCCATCAGATTATTAGAAAAGCAAGCATTAAAAACTCCACAATAATTTTGTCTTGTTTGGAAGCATACCTGACCCTTCAAAATCTTTTTGCCAGCAAAAAAAAAAAATATGAAGCTGTCCTCTCTTTTTTTTTTCCCTAGCACAAGTTTTTTTCCCTAGCACACTGGTCCTGGCCTTAACAACTAACCAACAGATTCTCCAAGGTCTCAAAGAGAGGTCTTTCCAAGCCCTGAGACGGGAGAGCTTTTAACTATTGATGTGAAGGATCGACTCTGGGGCTTGTGATGCTATAAAATTCACCTCCAGGCTTGAAAGGAGATGGACGGGGGTCTAAGGATAGGATTCTCACAAATTAGGGCACATCGATCTCCAGTTCTAACATATTTATTACCTACGTGTTTTTTCCCTCCAGTTGAACCAAAACAGATGATAACCAATAACTAACGTAATTCTTTTGATCTGTTAAAAAACTGTGTCCTCACTATTTTGCATGCTAATTTAACAAACCACTCCTCTATATACAACTATGATATGTAATTCCATTTCATGGTCTAACAAAGTGTGCATGCACACGAAAGCTCACACCTTGAATAAAACTCTGTTGGTCTCAAAGGTGCCACTGGACTCTAACTTTGTTCTATTTGTGAGCCCTGGTCCTGAAAACTCATTGATTCTTTAAATGTTTTAAAAGATTTCCCTTGCTGGAGAGCTAGTTGAATCTGACTTTAGGGGGTGGTGCTCATCTCTGTTTCCAAGCCGAAGACCCCAGTGCTGTCCGAAGACTTCTCCATGGTCATGTGGCCGGCATGACTAAACACCAAGGCGCACGGAACGCTGTTACCTTCCCACCGAAGTGGTACCTATTTACCTACTTGCAATTTCTTGCTTTCGAACTGCTAGGCTGGCAGGAGCTGGGGCCAGAGACGGGAGCTCACTCCGTCATGCAGCACACTCGGGTCTCGAACTGCTGAACTACAGACCTTCCGGTCTGCAGCTCAGTGTCTTAACCTCTGAGCCACCACAGCCCCCTTAAAATGTTTACATCCTGCGTTTCCACATACTATGTTCAAAGTGGTTACAAACCTCTATAACAAAACAACTCCACCACCTAACAGTGTATTAGGTAAAGGTTCCCTTGCTCGAAAGCCAGTCGAATCCGACTCTAGGGTTGCGGTGCTCATCTCCATTTCAAAGCCGAAGAGCCAGCGCTGTCCGAAGACACCAAGGTGCACGGAACGCTGTTACCTTCCCACTGAAGTGGTACCTATTTATCTACTTGCAATTTCTTGCTTTCGAACTGCTAGGTTGGCAGGAGCTGGAACTAGAGACGGGAGCTCACCCCATCTTGCGGCACCCGGGTCTTGAACTGCTGAACTACCGACCTTCCACAGCCTGCAGTTCAGCGTCTTAACCACTTGAGCCACCGCAGCTCCTAACAGTGTATTACAAACATAATAAAAGTGTAAAGGTTTATCAAAAAGCCCAAGAGAATGAGATACCTCTCATTTTGCTTCTAACATCAGCATCAAAGGGACTCCCCCACCAGAAGTCCCACAAAGAGCTTCATCTACTGCAGCCTAACTTCAGCAGCAGGGGCATCAGCCACAATGTCAATGTTCGGCAGAAAAACTTCCACCTCACAAACATAAATATAGTCTGCTTATCTACAATAGCCAGGGTTGTTGTGCTGCAAATTAATCATGATAGATGAGCAAAATGTGGGATATTAAACATGCATAAATCCCAGGTCTTGTACACGTAGGGTTGCCAAGTCCATCTTCCACCCCCAGCGGGGGACTTTGGGGGTGTTCCTGGAGGGGGTGGGGCATTCCCGACGTGATGACGTCACGTTGGGGACGTCCGCCCCCCCCACCCCGCTGTGCACCAGATCTCCAGAAACGGCAGTTCCCTGCACTTAAAGGAGCCAGCGTTTCCCTTTTAAATGCAGGAGCCGGCGTTTCCCTTTTAAGAGCACGAAGCTGGCATTTCCCTGCAAGCTTGTGGAGATCAGGCTTGGGAGGAAACATGGGTTCCACACACTTAACAGGAGAGAGATGGGTGGCTGTGGGTGTTGGGTGTGGGGCAAACCGGGGTTTTTGGCAACCCTATGTACCCTATGTATTTGCCTTCTTTTGCAAACATTTAAATTCTGCTAATATTACTTTAAATATGAACTGGAAAATGTTCCCATTCAAGTTTTTCCAGAAAACCCACATCACCAGGCATCAGAACATTCACGAGGAGGGGTCCCCAGTATAGTGCCCAGTGGGGCCAGGGCACCCGCCAACACCTTTCCTGATACCAGCTGCAGCTGGTTGGTTAAAACAGAGCCAGCTGAAACCAAATCCATCAAAGACAGAGGTCCTATACCTGCCAATGGTGAAGAATCTGGGTGTGACTTTGGATGCCTGACTTTCAGTGGAGGCCCAACTCATGAATGTTGCCAGATCAGCCTTTTCCCACCTTTGTCAGGTAAGACAACTGGTTCCCTACTTCTCACCCCATGACTTAGCTACAGTGATCCATGCAATGGTCACCTCCAGGCTGGACTACCGTGGCTCACTTTACGCAGGGCTATCCTTGAGACTGACCCAGAAATTGCAGCTGATCCAGAGTGCAGCAGCGCACATCCTTATAGGAACACCATTAAGAGCCCATGTACAACCAGTGCTCCCCCAGCTGCACTGGCTCCCAGATGAATTCAAAGTTTTGAACTTCAAAGCCCTATGCGGTCTGGGACCGACATATCTTCTGGACCATCTCTCCTGGTATGTCCCCCAAAGAGCCTGGCACTCTGTAGATCTACATCTTCTAGTGATTCCCCAGTCTGAAAGACACACACTTAGCCTCAGCCAAAGCCTTTTCAGCTCTGGCATCAGCCTGGGGAAAACACTCTCCCAAGCGGAATCCGGGCCCTGCTGAGGATTTAATACAGTTCCACAGGGCCTGTAAAATGGAGATGTTTCACCAGGCCTATGGCTAGGGCAGCGGAAGTTCATCTGGATTGGCCTGCCCTGCTCTGTCATGCTTTGTTATGTTCCATCTTGTTTTGTCCCTTCGTCCACCCGCTGGCCTCAGTATTAGTTAACATCTACTGTTGCAAACATGTAGAGCCTGTGGGAGTGGATGCATTGATTTGGATTACTGACTGCCATCTTATTGTTTAATAGTCAATTGATGTTTATAGCATTCTAGAGATTATTTTATATTTAAAGTAACAGTTTGTTATAGTTGTGCTTACACTGTTGTAACCCGCCCTGAGCCTTGCTGTGCAGGGGAGGCAGGGCTAGAAATCAAATGAATGGATAAATAAAATGCCCGCCCCGTGTTTGTAGAAAGTGGGCAGGGTGACGTGGGGCTTGTGTCCATCAGTGTTTCTGACTGGCTGTGCAGATTGAAAGGCATCCTTCCACCTTAAACAATGAAGAGCTACTATGAGAGTTATGCATAGCCCCAGTCCCTGACATTTTGTGACTTTGGCCACCAAATGAGAAGGGAGCACTCACTGGAGAAGACCCTGATGCTGGGAAAGACTGAAGGTCAAAGACGACGGGGACGGTAAAGGATGAGATGGTTAGACAGTGTCATAGATGCAACGAACATGAAGTTGAGCCAACTTCAGAGGACGGAGGAAGACAGGAAGGCCTGGCGTGATCTGGTCCATGGGGTCGCGAAGAGTCGGACTCGACTGAGCAACAACAACTGCCTCTGGTGGAAGCCATTTCATTGTTGCACTCTCCATCCTGTATCAGAATTCAAAAAGTGCCCATATGTTCAAAAAGGCTAAGAAAGTCTGTTCTAGAATGAGGGAGGAGAGTCGTATGGGAGAATGAAACCTTTCATACTTGACAAGAAACCCAGGACAAGAAAATGGCACCAAGAGGCCATGGAGAGACACAGTCAGAACTTTGAACAAACACTAAAATCCAAAGTAGGCATTTGCATGCATGTGAGGGACGGATACACACGCGCACGCGCACGCTTTCTCCCTCAGGTTGGCAAGGCAAGCTTCCATTAAACCTCACTTTCCTCTTCGATTGTGGGACTAACTACAAAGAAAACTCTGGCTGCACATTCAGTTCCCTTACACTCGTGTATAAACGCTTCTTGTGGATTGCAACCAAGGATCAGAAGCTTGAAGCTGATACAGAGTGACAGGGACCGAGTGGGAAAGTCTGAAATGGAGGCACAACAGTAATGGGGCAACGTCAGAAACATGACCTCAGCCACGCTAACAAAACAGGGTAGGGCATGGCCACTGAAGCAACCAATGCAGAGGAGGTTACAGTAATCCATCACAGAACTAGAGAGGTGATTAGTGTCAAGGAATTCAGCAGTCCTTTCAAGAACCCAGTCTCTCCTTCAACTTGCAGTTCATTAATTCCAAGCAGGCTTTATCTACTCTAACTAGCTGAATCAGATTGTCAGCTCTGTGGAGACAGCAAGTGGTACAGAGCCAAGGGCATTGTTAGACCAACAACTAAAAACATTCCTGAACAGTTAATCATAAACCTGTTATGCATGGAGCCAGTGTCAGGATCTGTATCGCACTGTCTGGCTGTGTTGACATCAGGGATAGGTAGAAACTGTTTTGGTTGTAGCAAGCTTTTAAGCTTTCGGAAATGTAAAGGGTCAGCTGAGGTTTCAGGAAGCTAGCCTTCAAGTATGTCGATCATGACATCGCCTCTTAGTTGGGGGAATGGGATTCATTTCAAGCTTTCCAATCAGTATAGTTGTTCCCCATGGCCACTCCGGTTATTTAACTTTGCCAGATTTACCTTTCTCTGTTGGTGGTGGTACTGTGCAGTCACAATCATTTAAAGGCACTAACTTGAACAGGGTTTAATGCTGCTTGAAATTTCACTGTTTAGAAGTAACAACAAATGGTAACTTCCTGTGAATCTCCAGGTCACAGCAACTGTAGTCTGCTGTGAACCTCTATTTTACATTTTCTTCTCTTCCACACACCCCCTTCCACATT